CTGAAGGCTGCATCATCCCCCAGAGGCCCTGGGGGATTTGAAATAAGGATGAACATCAGGTCAGACATGTCTCCTGCTCACAGGCATGCACACATCTGCCTCTCCAAAGAGTTTGGAAACAGAGTCACAAGCATAGCCCAGCCCGAAAATCCACTCTGAAGCCCCAAAATCCACTCTGAAGCCCCAAAATCCACTCTGAAGCATGCAGGTGAGTAGGGAGGAGAGCTCCTGCATCAGCACAGCAGGCTGCAGGGTCTGAGGACGAAGCTCAGAGATGCTCAGACTGAGCTTTCCACTGTCTCTTGCTTAGTTGCCCATGACTGCTGGTGCCCAGTGGCCAGAGACCCCACAGGGTCCTCACAGGCACAGGAGACCAAAACACCCCTTCTCCCTCCTCAAAACACCAGTTTATCTGCACACCAGCTTATGGCTGATCTAAGGGGGTCCATGCCCTTGTAAGTTAAGATTTAAAGTTTAACAAAAGCCATTTACTGTTTTGTCTGGGCAAGCTGCTGGGAGCACCAGCAACTCAATTTTATTGGTAAAAGCCTCTTTTCTCTAAAAACATGGGACCAGTTCTCCCCATGACAGCAAAATGTGAGCAATACAGAGCTTCAGACTGCACAGGACAAGAGTTTTCCAGCATTTCTGCAAGGCTGAGGAAAAAGCCCATATCTGACAACAGCTGCAAAGGGAGTTGGTGTGAAACCCCAACAGTGGGCAGTGGGCAGAGCAGGTTTCCAGCCTCTTCCAGCAGCTGGGAGCACAGCAAAGGATGCCACCAGTCACTTTATAGGGCATCCGTGTATTGCTTTGCTTTGCTGTCCATTATTGCACCCCCAGGAAAGCACCTGCTGTGCTGTCAGCAGCCCCCTGCTAGCTCCAGGAGAGCAGCCCCAGTGGATCTCTTCCAAGGTGCTCCCATCGACTACGGGGGGACAAAGCAATGAGGAAGCAGACAAGGAATGCATGACTTTCCCATCGTGCAGGGACTGCTGGGATTTGCTGGAAGGCATCCAATTAGTTAACGAGCACTCCAGAGCTGAGTCTGGTCTGGAATTAGTAATTAATTACCACAAGACAAGCAGGAGTGAATGTATTGGAGAAACCCATGTCTGTCCTAGGGATGGACTTCTGAGATTTTGCCCAGCAAACCCACACTGAAGTGGAGAGGAGCAGCTGGCAAGCAGGATGATGCGGATCCCAGAAAGATGCACAACACCAGGAGTGAACATCACAGCTGGCCCCCATCCTTGACATCCTGTACCAGGAACTGGCCTGTCGCTGTTGAGGCAGGACGGGGATAGAGGAGACTCCAAGTCAGAAGGTGAGAAGAGAACTGAACTTTGTTAACAAGTAGCGTTTTCCCTTGCTCAGCCTGGCAGAATCCCTCTCCTTTTCTCTCTGACTGAACTGAGAATATCCATACTGGCCCAGCTGCAAGCCCTTGGCCCTGGAGCTTGTTCTCCATGCTGATCCCAGCCCATCACAGGCACCACAGGCACAGCCAGTGAACACTTTGCTTCTGATGAGCAAAACTGGAGCAATGAAGCGAACAAGACACATCAGCCTGGCTGGCTGCCTCCTGCTTCCACCATCCACAAAGACCATAGCTTTGGAAATCCTGGAATAATTCCTTCATATTAATTTCTTTCATTAGTCTTCTGCTCCAGGTTCCCAAGCATGCTCCAGTGCAGGAGGACACATCAGCTTCCAGGTCCGAGGTGGCTCAGAGGAGCTGGGCTGTTGCCAGCAGCATCGGCCCTCCTGGGCACTGGTAACCTCCCACCAGGTTCTCCTGGTTGAAAATCAGTGGCTGAGCTCTGGGAAGGAGGAGAATGTGTCCTCCTGAGCATTCACTCCCAGGCCTCACAGCTCCCTGTCACCATCTGCCTCTCCGGAGCATGTCCCCATGCGGCAGGAGCTGCGGAGCAGCTCTGCATCCAGCCCCTGTGATAAATTAGCCAGGGATTCAGGCATTTCGGCACAGCTGCCTCATCCCCTGCCAGCATGACAATGTGATTAATTTTGGGTGCAGATGAAGCTCGTTTATCAGTGGCACGTGATGGCTGTGCAGGCTGCAGGGGTGTGGGGGAGCCCCGGGGTGCGGGACAGAGCGGGAGCCGAGGGAAAAGGCAGGAGGCAGGGAGGGAGAGTGAAGAGCCAAGCCCAGGGCTTCTCTCAGGAAGGCTGTTTGCCACATTGGCTCATGATTAAGGATGCTGGGGAAGAAGAGCCTGTGTGGGAAGAGAGCTTTTATCTCTGCAAACACACATGGCCACGTCTGGGGAGAGATGTGCAGTGGGAGGGGTATAGGAGGATTGGGGAGAAGAAGCCATGAGCTGATTATGTTGTGTCAGGAGAGGCAGTTCTACCACCATGGCCACTTCTCCCCCACTGCCCCCTCCTCCAAGCCATTTTCCACTTTCTCCCCTTTTTGGAGGACCAATGGGTCCTGTCTTGCCTGTCCCCACTCTGCAGCTACAGACACTTGCTTTTTGCTGCTGGAGGGATTGTGGCCAGAGCTGTTCCTGCAGGAATTGTCTGGGAAGACAGAGCTGTATGTTCACTTCCCAACGTAACACAGCCCTGACACAGAAAAATCTCGATTGGTTCATCAGCCTATTGTCTGGAGTTTCTCCACGTGCTGGAGTCTGGCAGTGCTGCTTCCTCAACATAGCACAGCTCTCCCAAGGGCCTGAGCTGCTCCCTGCTGAGGCTGCCAAGGTCACGAGCAAAGCATCATGGATGAGGAGTCTCTGCACACTTTCGGAGTGAGGAATGGCTTTTGGGGTAAGCTCACACCATGCCCGATGCCCTGGGGTGAGATGGATGCACAAGCAGAGGACATCAGGGCAGGTCCCCAGGCACCAGGGACCTTCATTGCCCCCTGCCATGGTTACATATGCCCCAGACAGCGGTGTCCCCATTCTAGAACAGCTCTGTCTCAGAGCAAGGTCATGCCAGCAGCACCCCAAAACCCTGAGATCACCATAACAATCCTCCCTTCAATAATTGTAGGCCCCAATGAGACATTTGCAGCTAAAGAAAAGAAAACCCTTCAAGTTCAATGAGGCCATGCAACCTGGGACATCAGTGGCAAATCCTTGAGCACATGGCTGATGTCAATGCCTTCCATGGGATTTAATTTTCAAACCAACAGATAGCATCAAAGAAAGAGAATGCTTTTTTGGATAAATGCATACTTTTTTAAAAAAAAACACATCAAGAGGACAAAGGTTAAGATGACACAATACATGGCAGCAGTGCTGATTGCAAGACACCCCTGCTGATTTACCTCAGCACAGAACCAGGACCCTTTCTGCTGGGTTAAAGGTAAGGTTAGAAAACCCATGGGGACTTTACAAGTGTGAAAACATCAAACACTGAATGGCACAGGGACTTGAGCCTGAGAAAGCCCAGAAATGTTATCCTTCTACCCACTAGTCCCTGAGGAGAGTCGGCTGGGTGGCTGGTGGCAGAGAGGGTGGCCTGAGAGGAGCACATCCCTGGAAAGGTTATAGGTGACAATGCTAGCTTGCAGCCAGGACTGCAGCTTCTGACATTCACATTTCTTTCAGGTCCTAAATGCTCCTCTAGGCCTGGCTCCTGTGCAAAGGTCCCCAGGCAGGTTGTGCTCTCCCTCCACCCATCAGTTCACCTTCTTATTGTTCCAAAGGTCCCCTGAGTCACAGCCAGTGGAAATACCTCCCAGTTTTTATTACAATCATCATGCCAATCACCAAGGGTTTCAGTTCCCATCCAACAAAGATTACCCAGGAAGGATTAAAGATGCCCACACTGTTTCCCTTCACGGACTATGGGAGGACACTGACAGACATATCTCAGAGCATTTTCACACACAGGGGAAATAATTCTGGGGTGAAGAGCAGCAGGAACTGGCTCCTTAACAGGGGCACACTCAGGCTCTTCCCCCTGCCTGGGGAGCAGTGGTGGTGCCCAGCCCCAGTGCCCTTCCAACCCCATGCAACACTTTCGCAACAGGCTCAGGGAGGAGAAAACACAACTGCACTTACCAGAGCTGAAATCCTACAAGGACCTGCTGGTGAGACAAGGAACCTGGAAAGGAAGAGAAAAAGAGATGTGGTTCAATGGGTTGGCTGTGGACAGCAGCAGGGCAGTGTTGGTGTGGCCCAGCCATGAAGGGGTGGATGGGACAGCACGTTCAGACAGGGCTGTGGCAGGTCACCTACCCTTGTATTGCACCAGGACCATCTAAACTGATCAGGGCCACCTAAATCCACCCAGCTCCACTTGCCAGCCTCTCCAGGTGCTCAGCTGGTGCTGGCAGAGCCACAGCTACTGCACACAAGAGGAATTCACCAAGGGATTAAGGAGCTATTTCCATCATTACCATCCTGGTATGAGCACTGGGCTGCCCCATCAGCGTTCCCCTCTCATCAGCTCCTGGAGCACGCCATGCAAATCTGCACAAAGGAGTCACAACAACACACCTGGGAAACAATAAATATCTGTGAAAAATCTCCCCATAAATCCACGGGAAGGGGAATTTATGGCATTTTCTTTGGAGATTTCTCCGGGTGTTCCCTATTAAGCCATTGTTCTTGTTTGCATAAGTATTCCTCAGACAGTGAAGTCTTCTCTGCCATCAGTTATCGGCTCTGCAAACAGGAGCAGCACCAGGCGTGGGACGTACAAACACCCAGCTGTAAAGATGAGAGACTGGCTCCTATTTGTTTGTGAAGAAATATCCTTTATTTGTGAAGAAATAAAGGTTATTAATTGCTTAGTGCAGCCACGGCACACTCCCAGAAAGGACAGGGTGAACTGACAGCCCTGACATGTACAGAACAACTGAGTAAAGAGAAACGGGCCAAAAAACTTTCTGTATGCTGTCAGGGTATGCCACACAATGGCAAAGCTATGGAAAAAATGAGGATTTTTCACATCACTGGGGAAAAGTATCGAGTGGAGAAGGAATGCACAAGTGCTGGAATCAGCCCCAGCTACCCAGAGAAATTGCTATAATGTCCAGCCACATACCAAGGCCACTACAGAAATTAGGGAAGGAAGTGCCCTGCCTGATATAGCAGCAATGAATACATTTGTAAGTGATAATACATCAGTTACCAGGCTGGGTAGAAGCCTTTCCCACAAGATTGACACAGGGGCTTATTAAAGAAGGTAATATCCAGTTAAGACACCTACTGGTCTCATCTGATGAATGGTTGACACAATGCAGGAGGGGTTTGAAAATAACAGAATATGCTCAATAGTATCAGCCCACACCTCTGGAAATACAGGTCCATGATATACAGCCTGGAGATGACATTTTAATTAACATGTGCTCGTGAAAACACAAACTGGAACCCATGTGGGAAGCACCATATACCGTCTTACTATGTTCCTATTTTGCTGTTAAAAGTTTAGGAAAAGAAAGATGGATACACCATTCTCCCATCAAGCAGGTGGTAACTAGCCAGCCAGCTGACAAATGACTGACTCCTGGAAAAACTCTCACATCAGCTAAGAACGAATGGGACATCTCACTACTCTTGGTATTATTGACTCTGTTACTGCTACAGCATAGCTAAGGATAAAAATGATGGATGATCTGGATTAGTGGGAAGTTAACAAATCCAAAGGGAAGATAGTTTTCCTAGATTATATAGGAACAAGGTTCCCAATTCCTGAAACACCTGACAGGAAGGCTCTTCCTTCCTGGTGTCCATCAGGTAAGGTTTATAACTTAGCCTGGGCAGAGGTAAGCAGAAGGACAGGTCTCATTGCCTTGATAATACCAGTTGTTGTGTGATGACAGATAATAGTTTAAGAAGTAATAATATACAATTAACATCACTTGTGAAGTGTTGACCCAGGAGTGATTACCCTTTCCCTGCTCATCCCCCTTCAAAGCAAACAGGGAGGGATGCAACCCTCCCAGTATTACAGGGACAGGATTGGGAGTCCTAAATGGTATAGATGTTGAAGTGTTCCTAAATAAACTAAGTGCAACAACAAGTGATTTAAGCAAATTAGAGCACCCATTGCGATCCTCTTTATTAGCACTGGGGACTAATCAATGGCTCTTGTCTGATATATTGCCTCTGTGGGAGAAAATTAATGAGAGACCACTAGCTGATTGTAGAGGCACTTGGAATGGTCCAGGGCAATCTTTCACCAGCTCTTAGATGTATCCACACTCAACCGTGGATGCACTCCACAGTGGCAGCAATTACAAGGGTAGGCAAATGCAGCACCCTATCCACAGAGGTTTGAAAAGTAGCTTGGGACAATACAGCTGAAGAGAATTTCAATCCTGATGGTATTTGGCCAGTGATGACCCCATTAACAATAAGGTTTCCTCAGTATACAGCACATAGCCAACTGTTGCACTAAATCCCAATACAATCATCCTCTTTCCCATAGAACATAAAGCATAGATACCAAAAAGTGGACACAGGTGGCAAACAGTACATGGGAACAACAAGGATTCAACTGTAATTCCATTAAACCCCAAGACACGTCTTGAACACTGAGCAAAATGTTTATCATTTTGAAACACATGCTGATGAAATCTCTGCAACTGCACTTATATATATTGGAAAAGGATATGTTTTCTTAAGGACCCTTTGTGGTTTTATATTAGTAGGTGATATTGCAGATACAAGTAATCATTCGAATATTTGCATTCATAACTTTAGTGGAATTATAGGGTATGATTTTAATTATACAGCTCCTGTTACGTCCTGCCAGTTGTTACAGTTTAATTATACACTAGTTAAAGACTTGTTACCTACTTCAACTGGAATTAATCTTAATGCTGGTAAGGAAATTATCACAACATGATGACTTACATCAAGTATTAAAACATATATGAATTGATAGAAAGAAATTATAATCACTGTCCACCACAGTGGGGATGAAATGCGGCCTGTGTTCAAAAGAGGAAAAAGAGATGGAGAACACCACTGGTGGAAACTCTCCTGGGGTGGTCATCTACAGCCACAGGAATTTATAACCTCCTGCTCCACCCAGTGGTAATCGTACTAGCTTTGAGTCTATTAGGCCTGGTGCTTGTGATCATTCTGTATATAAGATTATGGAAGCTGATCGTGCTTTTTGAAAGGCTTTGCAAGCTTTGCTAAATGTATTAGCAGGGATGCTTAATAAAAACAAAGGGAGAGCTGTAAAGAAGTAAAGGATATTAATTGCTTAGCATAACTTGCTTAGCATTAGTAGCTAAGATGTGCTGAAGCTTTTGGTCCCACTTTGAGCAGATTTCGCCCTGCACAGCTTCTGCAAGGCTGCCTCAGTTAATTGCCAGGAGAGCAGGTTGTATTTCAGCTATGACATTTCTCTGCATGTTTAACGTATCCCTATCATGGCTCCAGTGTACTTCTGCATAGATGGGTGGGAGACGGGGGAAAATGAAAAACACGTTTTCTTCCAGCATGAAATTGTGAGAGTGTCCTCCACTGAGTGCAATTACTGTTTATATGACTTCTGTAGGCTGGCTAATACTGCTAAGTATACTGGAGATTAAGGGATTTGGGGCTCTAAAGTCCATTTCATCCATCCAGGCCTGAGCAAGGCAATGAGAGCAGGGAAAAAGTCTTGCAGGGACTCTGGACCAAGCAGGGTCTGGCCTGCAGGTGACTGTCCCACCACGTCTCCTTGCTGCTCTCAGACCTGTCCCAGGCAGCTCTGAGCTCTGTGGGGGTCATGAAGGAGGGTGAATGCAGATGCCAGGGCCAAAGCACCTGCAGTCACATGCCCAGGGCTGACCCCTCACCAGTGGCTACCAAACCCAGCACACCCCATCAAGGATGCTCCCGAGCCTATGCCAAGCACTGCTGTCATGTTCCTGGATGGCTGAGCCCTCCCCAGGGTGGCACGTCAAGGACACAGGGGACAGAGGGAAGGACTTAAGCAGTCATGGTGTTGCTTCTGAGAGTGCTCAGGAGGCAGAGGAGAAGAGCTGTTATCCCTGAGTGGAGACCCAGTAACAACACTGGAGCATTTCTGCTTTGGTCGAGGCGATGGCTCTCCCTGCCCCATGGAGAGGGAAGCTGCAGTGCTTCCCATGGGGCTGGACTGTGCTGCCAGTCCCCAGCCCTGCTGCACCTCGGCTCCTCATCAGAGATTTACCCTGGGGGTGCAGGCTGAGCTTATGGGGGGAATACCCTACCCCAGTGCTAGAAAAAAGGAAGCCTCAAAAATACCTTTCCTACAGAGCCAGCATCCTGCCCAGCTCAGAGCAGGCAGAGGCCAAGTCCTGCTGCTGCTCCTGCCCAGAGGGGAAGCCATAGCAATCTCCCCCCAGTTCTTCCAAGCCAATGGAATATGAAGCAGAGCAAATACTGGGTTGTTGTGAGGGCACTGAGGAGTGAAGCAGAGCAAGGAGATAGCTCTGAGTAGTAAAAGCTGCCCTTACGTTATGAGCTCAGACACAGCCTTGTGCATCCCCAAGCAGCAGAGGAGCCATCTCCACTTTGATCTGAGTTTGATTTAAAATGGAGCATCTCCCTCAGCATCACCCATGGGGCAGCAGTGCAGCAACCTCATTTTCCTCTGCTTTATCCCTTTTGCCACCTGCTGTGTGCCCAAGGTCCCAGGGCCACTGGCTCCCTGCACACCCTGGCCATGATGTTCTGGGGCACAGCCCTCAGCTGTGGGTGCATCCTGCTCCCTCTCTGCTCTGGGGTGGGGATGAGCCAGCACAGAGCCAGGGAAATGAGAACTTGCTGGGGCATAATGCCAATTCAAGGCCCATTAACGTCCCACAAATCCTCTGCTCCATGGCCTTATCTTCCTCTGCCATGTCCCCTTGCTCCCCCTGTCCCCTCCTCCTCCTCCCACCCTTTTGGATGTGCAGACAAGCTGTGTAGGTACTCTTGGCTGTGCTTGGGAGCCCTTCAATGGCAGTATCTGCAGGAAGGTCTGATAGGTGACATCCCTGACACCCCTTGGTGACACCTCTGAGACCCCAGGCACCCACAGGCCATGGGATTGCCCCACACAGCACAGCTCATAGCCAAATGCTCTCCTGCTCTTGCAGACTGAATATCAGGCTCTGAACATTAACTTTTACAGCA